ATTACAAATGTTGATTTACTGACAATTTATGATTTATCTCATATTTTAAATGTACATTGAAATATTGAACTATATATCACATACATATAAACATAACCTTGCATGTCTATGATAGTAGGTGATCCTGGGTAGTTATGACACCTATCTTGATTTAGCATCAGGAGATTTCAGTCCTCTGACTAGAAAGACACACCATCCCTGTCATTCACAGGTGGGGTATCCCTAGCATCCCTATAATCCAGAGGTAGGGTATCCATATCACAAGCATCACTGTCACACAGAGGTAGGGTATCCCTATCATCCAGAGATTGGGTATTTCTCCCTATCATCCTTAGAAATGATAACAATCCATGACCTGCTCAAGGATGATGAATAAAATGACTCAGGGCCAATTGTTAGCCATTAGATGAGGCAGACACTCTCAGAGGCAGTCTCTTTGTATCAATAAGCCATTAAAGTATACTTTCCTCTCCAGCACTTTCATTTCTGTGACCCTAAAGTGAGAATGCTTAGAAATAAGCCAGCCTCTTTGTAAATACACATAATCCCCCTGGATAAATCTGCATGCTTTCTTTGTCCAAGGAGAATATTACTTTGGAAAAACTTCTGTGCTCTTGCTGGTTGCAGATAATAAATTATTCTCTTCTAATATTTGTTAATGTCTTAGCTATGCTTATTTTGAATTTTCTTCCACCATCACAAGAACACATTATGCTCAGTTACAGTGTGTCCTAGAGTATTGAGAATTATGGCGATTGCTATATATCTCGTGTGTTAAGATTTATTTTTTCATCGAAATCTAAGATGCCTGGACCTGACTTCGTCTTCCCAGAAACTGTAATTGCCAACTGTGAGACACAGAGAATAATCTCTGGAAATCTTTTCAAGGCATTGTTAAGCAGTCAAGACCTATATGTATCTTATCTTTTAATAAAGGAAGAAATACCTTTACTTCTCAAAGATTATTGGAAAACCTGAAAGAAACAAGGCTTTCCACAATGAGTCTTTTCCACTGTCAGCCATGGAGGTCAAGGAGACTAGTCAGCCAAAGGGTTTAGACATGGGGCCAGCAATCAATGCAGAGCACAGTTGCACAGGGCTCTCTGATCTTAGCTTGTAGCACAAGGTACCACACAGCCAGAGTGCACAGACAGCTATTAGATTTTTAGCTTCATTGTCTCTGTTAAAAACCTCTGTACTTGCTAATGTGGTTCAGTCCCGTCAGATTTCAGTCCTGTCATATGTTTCCCATGTATGTGGCTTTGTTTTTGTTCCTTTTCCACTAAAAGAATGCAGTTTTAAAAGAACCAAGTGCATGATTCATTTTTCTCGCCTGAGTGAAGTTATTTGAATAATTTAAGAAAGATATGAAGCAAATATATTCCAACACTGTACACTGATTCTTCAGTTCAAACAAAATAAATAACTGAATGAAAAATATTTGATAAGTAATCATTAGTTTCTATTTAAAATTCATATTATATCTACTTCTTGTTGGTGGAGACATTTTGATGCATGGCAGAGACTTGGAAAGTTACTTTTTTAGCTCTTAGTTTTTTTAATTACAAGAAATAAACTTGAGTATAGAGAAATAAATTGCTAAAACACAGATGAAAAGGTGCTAGTGCATTCTCAGAGTCAGTATTTTATTTTATTTTATTTTATTCTCTCTACTATTGTGAAATAATAGCTTAAGATGTGCTACATTTGTTTATGCTGTGGAATATTTGTTTAGTGATGTAAAGATGTGTTGTAGTTTTTAATGCTGCATTATTTAACTCTGTGAAACTGTGCTACTTTGCCTTTCTAAAACACCTGTTTAGTCTAATAAAGAGCTGAACAGTCAATGGCAAGGAAGGAGAGGGATAGGTGAGGCTGGAGTGCAGAGAGAATAAATTGGAGGAGAAATCTAGGCTGAAAAGAAGAGAGAAGAGGGAGGATCGAGAAAAGGAAGAGGAGAGAAAGAAACCAGGGACCAGCCACCCAGCCACCCAGCCAGCCATGGAGTAAGACAGAGAATGACAAAATCTCAGAGGCAAAAGGGAGATAGTATAATTTAAGAAAACCTGTCTAGAAATAAGCAAAGCTAAGGCCTGTCATTCATAGAGAAGAATAAGACTCTGTGTATTTATTTGGGAGCTGGGTGGCAGGCCCCCAAAAGAGTAAAAACAAGCAACTACAGTGTACTACAGATGACAATGTGGGGTGAGTTCTCTTTTTGATAGTGAAAGTATACTTTGCTATTTTCACTGTTATTTCTGGGAAGCCAACAGACAAAGAGTGTTAAGTCAAAATTCAGTTTAATAGCATAAAATATATTGTGTGAATTAAAATATGGAGAGGGAAATGTGCTTTCAATTGCTTTGTCTAACATGGTTGAATGGATATTTTCTAACATAACAGCATGAGATGGTACACCAAATTTTAAAAATGTAAAATATACCCCTACTCAAGGTTGCTGCCTTTGTTCCTATGGTTAAAAGAAATCATGGGGTATTTCCCCTTTATGTTCTTGTCACAATTGGGTTCATGAAACTAATGTCTTTTGTCTTGACACTTTTTTAAAAAATAAAATCTATAGCATCCTAGAAGTTTCTTGTTCAGTTAGCAGGAAAAATGTTGAATTCTGTATTTGCATGTGAACATGAGTTCTGCATCTGCTTTCAGGCTGTCCAAATAGACAAGAGAAGAGCATGACAATAGAACTTAGACTATGTGATGCTGTGTGAAAGGCACTGGGTATTAGAACCAAAGAATGCTAAGTCCCAAGGGTCCTGGATGCACAAATGCTAATTAGCATAACGTTGTAGACAGATATTCCAAGATTCCAGGAGGATTCCTCTGTCTCAGTCACATGTGTATTTTGGGATGTGTCTTGTCATTGTCAAGAGTCTTAAAATTACAAATAGGAATAATTAAGGAGAACTTCTTTATAGAGAATAAGTGATTTAATCAGGTTAATGTGGAGGAGAGTTTGAACTATTTTTTGTGTGGAACATCTGCCAAGAAATACAAACCATTTTCTAGTGGATTTTTCCATTTTGACAGATATACAACTGTGAGATGGGAGGTCAATTCACTATGGAATATATTTATTTACATACAAGCTGAGGAGACAGAAAGCATGGCAGGCTTCCAGAAGAGAAGAGAGTGAGAGTTTACCTTTCTTTAAATAGCCCACCTGCCTAATTTTCATATCTCCACCCATTTTAGGTGGATAGCTTTGTGGGCTCACCCCTACAAGTCCCCTTTTAGTCTAAATAGACGATTTAAATTTTATACAAACTCAAACTTATGCAACATATATACATAGAGGAACATAAAGTCAATTATAATCTACATATTCCCTAAGCTAAACATCTCTATTCCATCGAAATCCTTAACTTATCTGAAAGGGATGCCTAAGTCTGAACACCTCCTTCCAATCTCAACCCTAAAATAATTGAAAACCAACATCAGTAGGGAAAGAGGGAGTGGAATTCTCAAATTTCCTTCCTGCTGGAATGGGACAATGACAATCTCATGGAGACCTATTCTTCTTGATTATTCCTGTTCTTAGGGATCATGGGAGTTTATAGAGCTAAATAGTATACAATAATTTTGCATTTTTCTCCTGTTAGAAATACATGAGCCAAAAGTACTCAGATACCCAACATATATGGGTTGTATAGAGATATTTATAAGAACTGACTCAAGATAGATTTTCTTTTGAACAGGAATGTACCTGATTATCTTAGCTGGGCAAGAAAAATCAAGGAGTATACTTGGACCACAATTTTCTCATGTTCAGGAACTCTGTGATACCAGTATGCCTGGCTTTGAAAAATTAGTACTCTGAGACTATAGTGTATACTCACAAATTTCCAAATGAACCTGTTGTTGACTGAGATGTCTAATTGTCTGTCCATAAAACCACCATAAAATAAAAATTGCAACTTGAAGATAACTCAAAGACTATCTTGATCACCAAAAAAGTTTAAAATAGGAAAATATCACTCTATTTTTCTCATTCAATTACAGAGAAGAGGTAGGATTCATTTATGAAAATATTATGAGGGAAAGACTGGAGGCTAACATTTCTATTTCCAAAGTGAATGAGTTTAGTTTTAACCTCAAGGATTTTGGTAGTTGACAGGTAAGATGTTACATCAGAAAAATAAAGAATTACACATGACTTTGAGACCATCTCCATGTATTTTTTCAGACACTTGAACAGAGCAATACTGACAACATCCAAATGATTAAATCTCATATTTAATTTCTTTATCAATATCCTAAAAGTGACATGATAGTTTCCTTCCTCATTTCCTCTTTACATGAGGCCAAGTGGTTTATGAGAGGATTTGTGAAACTGTAGTGTTGTACTGTACTAGATACATCGTTCTAGATTCTATTTATGAATTCTAACTCTAGAATGCTAATAGTTCTTTTAACTCAGCTTGTGGTTTGAGAACAAAACCTTTAATAACTAACTTTCCATGTGTCATTCATTATGTTACAAGCTGGAGGATAAAGTTCCCTTGTTCTAACTTTTAGGGAGCCACGTTACACCTGGGATAAAGCAGCTTTGAATGGATTTCAGAGTACAGCAGAGGTACTCTGACCATGCACCAAATAAGCAATCAAACAAAAACAAACAAAACTAGCAACACACACAGAAATCAAATCAGACAGATTCCATTTAAGCAAAATGTTGACAATTTCAGGTGAAATAACCAAGAATGGGCCACAGAGGTGAGTAACAAAACAGTCATCAGTAAGGATGTAACTTATACTGCAGACAGACATTCACAGACTTTCCAGGACCAAGGTTTGCAGAATGCCAGCAACAACAAGAAAGATTATGGAGAAGAAAAGTTCTGCCAAACAAAGGAGGCATTCAGGAGGGCTGAAGTGGGGTATGGAAGCACACTGCATCAAATGACACCAGTCAGTTTTCTCTTCCATCTCAGAAGTGACCTAGTCTACACCACTGTCAGGTCAGTTACAAGGGACAGTACCTTTCGTTTCGCCTTCAGCTGCTCATGGTACTTGTCACAGGTGTCTCCTGGGATCTCTCCTCCCCAGAGGGTAATTCCAACTATGGTGTAGGTGACACCCATGATGAGCAATGGGAAGCAGTACACCAGGATGATGACAATAATGTGGTACCTGCAGAGAGATACACACACGCACTCAAGAACCCTTCGGAATGAAACACACTGGGCTCAGAAATTGTTGAGCTTTAAATCATCATACAAATGCAAACAGCTATTTTCACCTTATCGCTATGTCTTCATTCCACAAACCTATCAAAATGTCATAGGAGCATTGTAACCTAGGGTCACGTGTCAAATGTTTTAATTGCCCATTCCCAACCTGCAATTTGTGAATGAAAATTTATAAACGAAGCCTTCTCTTAACTTACGCATATTCCCTTCACTTAGAATCAAGGCTGAATGGCCCCATGGTTTCATGGTTTGGCCCTTTGTTTAGTAATTGCTGAGCTAAACTATTGAACTAAATCCTCAAAGGTAAGGGTGTAGGGAAGAATAAGCCAGCCATGATATGTACGTTTTTCCACAAGAGACTATGCTATTTATTCTTGTGACATCAGGCATTCATAAAACAGTTTTCTTCTGCATGAAAAGAGGAATTAGGTACTCTGAGGCACGCTGTGCATTTCTTTTGATTTTCAAATAAACTAGGTTAAAAACATTTACATGCATGTCTCCATGGTCATGGTATATTCTATTGCCTTATTAACTTGAATAACAAGCACATCATGTGTGATAAATACACAATTTTACACACTGCTAAATTTAAATCTATGATTCCATACTTTTCCATCAAAGCAAAATGGAAGCATAATATATATGATCCTGGCCCATACACAATTTTACACATTGTGTGTGGTTTCTACTGTCTTTTGATGGCTTTAAATTAATGAATTTATAACTGTGGTTTGTCTTCTCAGATAATTTTTTTCTTTCTGGAATGAACAAATACATACAAATGAAAGCAAAACAAAATTAAAACACCTTCCAGGACTTCCCTCTGGTCTAGCCATGCTTTCTAAAGGAGCAATCAACACATTGGCCTTAGTTCCCACTTCTTAGCTCCCCAGTCAATAACTCCCTGCTGTCCCTGGTACATTGTTTCCAGCTTTTACCACTCCCTTTTAGGAACAGCTAGTGCTTCTCAACAGAAGCCATCACATCTCCAATTAAAAACCTTTATAGGCTTACAAATCAACACATCACATTGCAGTGCATTTTTGCATGTCTTTCTCCAAGTAATACAGGAGTCCTGAGGTGAGTGACTATGTCCACACTGCATCACTTTTCTCCAATTTTCACGTCCCTAAGTATTTGATAGATTGAGTAGAAAATCGTCAAGGAGAATTAACTTACGTGAAATGTTGCTTGGGACCCTCTGGCCACTGCACATAGCAAAGAGTACGTCCTGGCATGACTTTTATTTTGGAATAAAGACATTGAGGGAAGGCAAGTAGAAATGCCAAAATCCAAATGCTCCCAATGACAATCTTGGTGGCCGTGGCAGATAGTCTGGGTTTCAGAGGATCGATAATGGCCATATACCTATATGAAATAAAGAAGAGCATCTGTCATTTCCTTCATTATTAGAATTTAAAATGGAGCTTCAAAGGTGTTTTAATAGCTGTGTCTCAGAATTTAAGGTGAGAAGGATTTTGCATCTAGAGGTAGCACAGATAGAAGACAATGAAACTATCTCAGGAGTTGGCAGATCTGGGATCAAATCCTATTCGGAGACTTGCTTAGCCATTTGAAACTCAGCTTCATTATTTTTAAAATAAAAATAAGAACACCCACACCTTAGGGGTGCAGGAAGGATCAATGGAAACAATATAAGTGGCAGTATTGATTACTTGGTGCTGTGTCTAGAACACTATCTGAATTCATAAATGTCTGTTGGATGGAACTGAAAAGGTATCTGCAGAATGCCTGAAAATACAGGCTTTTTACTGCAACATCACTTTTTCTTTTTTTTTCTTTCTCTTCTTTTCTTTTTTTTTTGTCAGTGCTGAGAGACAAGCATGAGCCTCGCTGCCACTAGCCACGAAAGCGCTCTGTCTCTTAGTTATATTCCCAGCCACCAATTATAATTTCTTTTATGCCTCTGCTGGCTTAACTTCTTGATAGAAAAATAGGGTTAGGTAGCATGGATAATAGCTGGATGACTGACATAGATAAAGAACCTCATGCAAGGCTGTGACCTCCACTCTCACTTAAAGCAGCAAAAGAATTAAGGATTCAGCTGGGGTGACTGCGTCAGGCTGGATAGAGGTTTGGCTTTCATATTATCCAGGAATTTGAATTTCTGTTGAACCATGGGAGGAATCCATGGTGTTTATTACAAGATCATCAGTAGCCTAAGTTGGGAATGTGGCCTTACCGCTCACAAGAGCACACTTCCATGTGGCTATTGCAGCCCACTCTTTGGAATTTGGGAATTTTTTCAATATGGAAAGAAAAGTCATTCTATTCCTATAATCTAGATAGTGTCTATGTATCTCAGGAAAACAATTTTAGTTTTACATTGGATAAAGTATGGTTCATTGCCAGAATTTGGATAGTGATTAGAAAATAAAATAATATTTATAAAATCAGCTTAATTCATGTTTTCACCAATAAACAAAACATGCTGTTTTGTTTCATTTTCACTATGGTTCATTTGTGTTATGCAAACATGATTTTATTTATTTGTGTCTTTTAGAGATTATACTTCAGGCTTAGGATGACTACTAATAAGGATAAAATATTATGGTACTGGCTTATGCATACACACACACACACTAACCATTGCAACCTCAAGAGTAAGGAGAGTTCTATTGTTTATTATTATTGGTTTGTGCAATTCTAGGCATATTTTAGTTCTTTAAGTAGATACATTGAAAATTATAAACTGCTATTAATTACACTTTACCTAAAGAGGCATTAGTTACAATTTACCTAAAGAGGCATCTAGGTTGCTTCCAAGTTCTTGCTTTTACAAATAATGCTGCTATGAACATAGCGGAACAGATGTCCTTGTATGAATGTACATCTTTTGGGTAGATATCTAAAGGTGAAATTGCTGGATCTTGTGGTAGATTGATTCCCATTTTCCAGAGGAATCACCATAATGATTTCCAAGGTGGCTGCACAAGGTGACACTCCTACAAGCAGTGGAGTGTTCCCCTCTCTCCACATCCTCTCCAGCATAAACTGTCATTGGAGTTCTTGATTTTAGCCATTCTGACAGGAGCAAGATGGTATCTCAAAGTTGTTTTGATTTGTATTTCCCTGATGGCTAAGGATGTTGAGCACTTTCTTAAGTGTCTATCAGCCATTTTAGACTCCTTTATTGGGAATTCTCTATTTAGTTTTGTAAACCCCCCCCCCTTTTTTGTTATTCAAGACAGGGTTTCTCTGTATTGCTTTGGAGCCTATCCTGAAACTCACTCTGTAGACCAGGCTGGTCTCAAACTCACAGAGATCTACCTGCCTCTGCCTCCTGAGTGCTGGGACTGTACGAATGTACCCCACTTTTTAACTGGATCATTTGGTGTTTTGGAGACTTCCTTCTTGAGTTCTTTGTAAATTTTGGAAATCAGCCCTCTGTCAGATGTGGGGTTGGTGAATGGATAGAGAAACTGTGGTACATTTATACAATGGAGCACTACTCAGCAGAAAACACAATGAAATCTTGAAATCAAAGGCAAATGGAACTAGAAGAAACCATCCTGAGTGAGGTAACCCAGTCACAAAAAGACAAACATGGTATGTGCTCACACATATATGAATTTTAGACTTAGAGAAAAAATATTATCAACCTACAATCCATACTGCTAGAGAAGCTAGTAAACAACAAGAACCCTTGTTAGTTATAAAGAGAAATCTGGCACTAGGGAAATGTCCAGCGATCTACAAGGATGACTCGAACTAACATTCTAAGCAATAGTAGAGAGGCTACCTTAAATGTCCTTCCCCAATAATGAGATTGATGGCTAACTTATAAGCCATACTAGAGCCTTCATCAACTAGTTGATGGAAGCAGACACCCATAGCTAAACACTGAACTGAACTCCTGGAATCCAGTTGCAGAGAGGGAGGAGTGATGAGCAAAGAGATTAAGACCAGGCTTGTGAAACCCACAGAAACAGCTGACCTGAACAAAGGGGAGTACATGGACCTCAGACTGACAGCTGGGTACCAAGCATAGGACTGCTCCAGACCCCCTGAACGTGGGTGTCAGTAAGGAGGCCTCGGCAAACTATGGGGCGTCTAGTACTAGATCAGTATTTCTCCCTAGCATATGAATGGACTTTGGGAGCCCATTCCACATATAGGGATAATCTCTCAGCCTAGACCCATGAGGGAGGGCCTAAGCCCTGCTCCAAATGATATTACATACTTTGAAGATTCCCCCATGGAAGGCCTCACTTTCCCTGGGGAGCAGATAGGGGATGTGTTAGGGAGTTAGTTGGGGTCAGGAGAGGAGGGGAGAAAAAGGGAACTGGGATTGACATGTGAAACAAGCTTGATTCTCATTTAAATAAAAATAGAGAAAGAAAAATAAAACAAAACAATTTACCTAAAGGAATATTCTCAATTCACCATGTGTGATATGTAAGAATCATAGATACAAATATTCTATTTGTCTACCTGTGATTTTTTTTATTTCACTTTGCTGTAAGATTACACAACTATGAAGCATCTAAAATAATTATATTCACAGAAGCAGAGGATAGAATAGTGGAAGGAGAAGAAAATTGATAATTAATTTTTACTGGGCATAAAGTTTAATTTATGAAAGAAATAATCGTCTAAATCTGTTTAACCTAGACTCTGTAATGCTAAGTGATATTAGGAAAAAGTGTTAAGAGTTCAGATCTAATGTTCAGTGTTTCTACCACAAAACAATACAAAACAAAACTTCATCCATGTTGTCCCTGCTGGAAGTTTTGGAGGTGTTGGATGTATTTTGTAACTTGATTATGGTGACTGTATCATTGTTAAATACATTTTCTCAAACCCATCAGGTTATGCATATATATATATATACATATATATCAATTATATGTTATTGAAGTTTAAAATAAAAAAATAAAAAACATGAGTATAAAAATGGTAGTTGGTTGAGAAAACAAAGTGAACTGTATAAGATACGTAATTTGCAGCTGGAATAGAAGGCTACTTAAAATTCACCCCTCATGTTCTTGATGATGAAGATAATACCACCAGTAATCACTGATTACTAATATAGTCAGCACTTCACCATGTGTTCATTAAAGCCTAAAATAACCACATCAATAAGTGCTACCAGTAGATTTTATAGATAAGAAAATTGAGCTTTACTGATATTAAAATCATTCATAGTTTTACAAAAATAGAAATCTTTATCAATCTTCCTTGGGTGTAACAGAAAAAAGTAGAATTATCAAATCTCCGGATATTCTGGTAGTTGTCAGAGTCCAAATAGACCCAAACAATGACACTGGTAGTCATGTAAAGACCATGAGTGAGGAAGAAACAGACATAAGCTGGAAACTTACAGAGCATCAAAAGTAGCATTTTTATCCTCTAAATCCAGAAGCACGGGGTTAAACGCTGAAGTCAGGCATGCAATAACAGGAATTGTAGACAAGCATGCTTTGTTCTTGCTGCTGCTGCTTCTAAATTGCAAAGTATTTATCATATATTCAGTTATGGCTTCATGGGTGTTGCCAGAGCCAAGCACACTTGTAAATAAAGTGTGCTGTATTACTGAAGTGTGTATTACTGAATTATGTCACAATCTGTCTTCTTTTGTGGCTCTAGAAGTTTATATATGCCATTTAGATATTTATACAATTAATTGCTTTTACTTTCTAGGTCCTGTAACACAGATAGGTTAAAAACAAACTCCAAATTACTCATTGGCTTCTTTCTATAGTTATTCTAACTTTAAATAATTTATGTTCCAATAGGTACACTGTTATGTGGAATCAGTTTATGTTCTCACGAAGTAGTATGGAATCTTGAAACTTTAAAAGGCTCGTAAAATTTTATATTTTATTATTATTTGAACATGTACGCATATAATATATGTATCAGAAGGCAACTTTGTATAATCTGTTTTCCCTTTCTGGGTAACACATGGGTTCTGGGGACTAAATCAGGGATTGGTTGCAATTGGTTTGGAATGTATGGCTAGCACTTTTACTTGCTGAACCATCATGTCAGCCCTTGTAACTTAAGGCATTTTTCTCCTTTCTGGTCTGTTATTAAGTTATTCAATGAAATATCAAGTTAATGCTTATTGTGGTATTCCAGACAATGTTATAATACAGCTGTGAGCACAAATGGCATTTTAATTGTTCAAAGCCTATGAAACAGATACCAAATGAATCAATCTTCTACTGCTGTAAATAATAACAAGAATCTGGGAGATTTATGAAGAAGAAAAGTTTATGTAGACTTGAACTAACCATTTTCTACTATGTTCACTTGTAAAAGTTCTACCACCCTTAGTGTCTGTACATTGAGAATTGAACTTTAAAGACATCAGCCTCTAGTGAACAGACAGTGTCTAAACC